GACAGACCCGTCTTCAGGGGCCAATGGAAAGGAGACAGAGGAGAGCATAATGGCGGGGGTGGGGTGAATTGAAGGTGAGCCGTGCTGGGAAGAAAATGAAGAAGAGGCACGGGGTTGCTGAGGGAGATAGTGGCGGGGGGGGGGGGGGGGGGGGGGGGGTAAAGGGAAAGGGTGGGGGGGGGGCATGAGGCTCACTGGGGAGGAGCCTTCCCAGCAGAGGGAACAGCTTGTGCAAAGGCCCTGAGGCAGGAGTGTGCCAGTATTCAGGAAAAGCCAGAAAGTTGAGGCTGGAGACAGTAAAGAAGTTTGAGAAAGAAAATGGCCTGAGGCGGGCCCTGACTTCGCAGGAGAGGCAGCTGTTGAAGGGTTTAGACCAGTGGAGGCCGTGACATGCTCTGGCTTTTGTTTGAAAGGACTGCTTGGGCTGCCCTGCAGAGACTGGACAGCAGAGGTAAAGGGCAGCAGCTGTGAGACCGGGGAGGAGGCGTAGGGTGGGGGTGAAGTTAAAGTGGCAGGCAGAGCCCCGAGTCTGGAGATAGAGGTGTTAGACTCGTCAGCAGACAGATGGTATTTAGGACCACGGCAGATAAGAGCAGCTAGGAAATGTGTGGGTGTAGATGAAGAAGAGAAAAGGTCGAAAGATGAGCCCTGGGGCCCCCGGATGTGAGCGGATGGTGAGGGGACAGAGAACCTGGAGACCTGTCTACAGCCAGGAAGCAGGGGCGTGGCGTGGGGAGCAGTGAGTGCCCAGCTGGGGAGGTCCCTGGGGAGCAGGGGGTCAGGAAAGAACCAGCCATTGACAGCAGCTAGAGGGGACTGTGGCCCCAAGAGAGAGTCTTTTTTGTAAGACAAGACAAATGAGTAGGCTAGGCAAGGGAGGGGGGGCAACATCCTTGAGTGGGTGCAGAGGCCAGGGTGGGGCACCCAGGCAGTGCGGGAACAAGCAGGGCTGCCTCTCGGGCATCAGGAAATGGGGGGCACAGCTGGCCTCACTTGGGGCGAGACAGGAAGCTATGGGAGAGCCCTCCGGCCCCAGCCTGACCTGATCCTCCTCGGCCTTCCCAGACGCCTTGGCTACAACCTCAGGAAAGTGCTTTTCATGTCTTTCTTTTACTTTTAAGTTATCCCGCAGTAAAATGGACTTTTGGGGGGCAGGGGTTCAGTTCGGTGAGTTTCCACACTGCACAGAGTGGACCGAGGGCAGCTCCTTCACCTGCTAGAATGTTTGGCATCCCCACCAGCTAGGTTGGCAAGGGCCGGGCCTGATTCAATAGTCAGAGAGGAGGGAGGCTGCGAGGGACCCCAGAGATGTCAGCCACAGAGGTGGGAGCCAGGGAGGATCAAGAGACCAGGCAGTCAGGGTCTGAGTCCCAGGGGCCTCCAGGGCCCTTGGCAGATATGGCAGCAGCCGTGGAGGTAGAGAGGGCTCCGCTGAGAAGAGGTTGGGGAATTAGGGGCTGGGGCACATGCTGATGCAGGGCCCTGGGGTCGGGGATCGAGGCGCCTCTGTGGTTTGGCCAGAGCCCTGCACTAGGACCGGAAGACCAGGGCTGACCCTCAGCCTCCTTCAGTTTGATAGACCCTTCAGCCATCCAAGGGGAGGTGAGGAAGCAGCAGTGCATGCTGGGAAGGAGTGCATGCTGGCTGCAGACATAGGTGGGTGTGGGTGTGGGTGTGTGTGTGGGTGTGGGTGTGTGTGTGTATATCTCTCTCTCTCTCCTTTAAATGGTGTCCCTGGAGTCTGTGGGCTTTCGGTGACACTGACAGCCTTGAGGGTGGCAAGGTCCCTTGGGGAGTGGCAGAGATGGAGAGGTGACCTGAGGGATGGTCCCAGGTTGGGGGAGGAGCTTGAGGAGGCAGTAGGGCAGAGCGTTGGAGAAGGGCACTGTTTCCGCTCAGCCTTGGTCACTCTTCTGCTGGGACACACTGAACTCTGCCGTGGGGATGTTCTGAAGCCCCCGTGCTTGAGCTCGGCTCTCTGGGGCAGGCCTCTCTTCTCGAAACCTTTGCCAGTTCTCACCAAACTCGTGTCCCAGGAAGTCGCTGTTCTCTTCAGTGTCGGGTGGCCTGAAAACACCCCATCATAACACCAACACCAAGCAATTTGTTAACAGCCCCAGGTTTGAATGTGGGGAATTGGGACCTGGAAGAGACTTGGGATGACACAAGCCAAGCTTAGAGCCCAAAATCGCACGTCTGCATGAGAAGCCCTGCCCCCCCGACCCCCGTTGGTAATTGAGCAACTACTCTGTGCCACACTCTGTCGATAGGCAGCAAACAAGACCAGTGACAAGACGGTCATTAAAGTAAGTCTGATTATACTTGGGAGGAGCAAGCACCCTGAAGGAACGTTCCGGAGCTGCAGAAGCTGGAGAAGACGGGCTGGCTGCCCTTTTTGGGCAAAGACTTTGGAGCTCAGCCAGGCACAGGGAGACCTGAAGATGGGTTTCAGCAGGGGGTCTGACCTGATCATGTGACCCAGGTCCAAATGAGGGGACCAGCTCAGCTAGAGGAAAGGGTGTAGCCAGGGTCATCAGATCATTGCTGCCAAGCTTACCACAAAGGCGCCTAGGGTCAAGGGCAGCAGGGTCCAGCTTACTTTCCTTTCTGTGACTTGAGGGGTGTAGCCGACAGCTGGAGCAGATACCTCACCACCGCCACACAGCCGCAGCAACTGTCCCAGTAGCTCCCCCACAATTCTGGCACCAGAAAAGGCCCAAAGAATGAGGCCACATCTTCAATGACTACAAAAAGTGATTTCTATTTCTTTTCATGAGAAATATCAAATGATTCTCCCCTCAATTTCTGGGCTACCCCTTTCTCAGAAGCCAGTCTGGGGGAGTTAAGGAACTGAGGGCAAATAGTTGGCCATCTGTAATCCAGAAGACGTGACTTCACCAAATTCAGAGAAAATCCTAGCCAGATTTAAGATTTGGAGTTAGGAAATTCCAATTTTACGGAGCTCTTTGGCTGACTGTTTTTGCACTCGACTGGCTGTGAGGTTCACCTGGCTTAAACTGATTTAGGAGCACTGTGCCTGGCCACGCACTGACAGTCCCGGGGTTCCGGACCCTGGAGGGTCGGAAAGGACTCATTGTCAGCAGTGTGATTCATGGTCTAAACTAGGGGACAGCAAACTTCTCCTATAAAGGACCTTAGAGTAATTATTTTTAGCTTTGCAGGCCAGGTCTCTGTCACAACTACCCAGCTCTGCCCTGGCACCTTGAAGACAGGCATAGACGAAGCACAAGTGAATGGGCGTGGCTGTGTGGCAATAAAACTTTATTTATAAAACCAAGCTGAGGGCCAGTGTTAGCCCTTGGGCCACAGTTTGCCAACACCCAGTCTAAACCAAGAAAACCAAGTCCTAGAAGCTTTGACCTGGAAATGACTTTAGAACTGATGTTATGTCCACCCACTCACATAGGGAAGAGCTGACTTCCCCACCTCAGCACAAGGCCAGCTGGCTCATGTGGGGCCCGGCAGAGGCCTTCCCATGGACTCGAGCTTTTAGAACCAAGAGGGAGCCCAGGTGGTAGGGAACCAGGGAGGGAACAAAGTGAGGCAGGAGCTCTGTGGCTCACAAACCTGACGACATTTGAGCAACTCGTGTAAGTGAAGGTGGGCTCAAAGAGACCAAGGGGCTAGTTCTGGGAGCAAGATCCTGCAGGAGGTATGGGGGTCAGAGGGTGCCTGAGCTCGGCTGGGGCCAAGGGCCACCATAGCCGGGGATCAGGGCACTGTGGGAAGCTCTTCCCTGAGGTCTGCCAATGCCAGTGGAGCAGCCGGGGAACAAGATCTAGAAAAGCCTGAGTAGAGGAAGGATATGGCAGATTCCACGGACCAAAAGAAGTCATCTGGCTTGGAAACTGAAGAGGAGGAGGAGAGTGCAGGGTGAGAAAGGCTGGAGGGGCAAGGAGCACCAGATTGCAAAATGCCTGTGATGGCAGGAAACACGAGGGCAAAAAGGTCTGTGAAGGGAAACGCCAACCCATCAGAGGCACCGAGCTGCGGGCCAGGGGGCCTGCAGGAGGCGAGAGGAACCATCGCGTTGGAGCAGGGCATCCAAGCAGGACAGGCTTACTGGGTGCAAATCAAAAGTGGGGCCATTTTCAGTGTTGGGTGCCTCCAGATGGGAGAGTGGCCAGCTCTCAGGCCCCCGATTATAGCCAGATGAGCCCCAAGGTGGCGGTCAGGGCTAGGAGGTGGGCCCGGGCATACGAACAGAGAGGAGGAAGACCAGTGCCAGGCCAGGGCTCTGGGACACCATGGGCCAGAGGAAGGAGAAGTGCAGGAGACAGGGCCGGGTAGGAGGAGGGCCAGGCAGTGGCGATGTCAGGGAAGCCGGGAGGAGTTTCCAGAAAGAGGGACATTCAGCTGTGTTGGGTGCCCCTGAGAAATCAAATAAGACGGAGACACAAAAGTCGCCACTGGACTTCGCAGCAGGAGGACCGATGGCCATGTGCGTCTGGACATGGCAGGTGCTGGTTCCAGGCACGAGAGCTGGCAGGACAGAGACAAGGTCTATAGAGAAGCCAGGGAGGGAGACCCACTTGAGAAAGGCCGGCAATGTGCCCAAAGGCTGGGGACTTCCTCTGATCAGAAAGTTATGCAGACTTTGTGGTAAGAGGAAGCGGAGAGTCCCCTCTCTAGCATTCTCCCTTTTTGGAATCATCTTTCTGTTCTATCAAATTGGAATTCAGATTGGGCAGAGGGCCCAGTTGATGAGACACAGACCCAATCCTGAAAACCCTTAGCGCAACCAGGCAGAGCTGCCCGAGTTGCTCCATTCCAGTGGATGAACGTTTGTCACGCAGTAACCTGGTGCTGTTGATGTGGGTGGAACTTGCCAGCACCAGCCAGCCATTGACTATCTCCTTCCTTCCTTCTTTCCTTCCTTCCTGGCTTCCTTCCTTCCCTTCTTCCTCCCTTCCTTCCTTTCTCCCTCCCTCCCTCCCTCCTCCCACCTTGGGCCCCTGTCCTTCCATCTCTCACTCCAGATCCGGGTGGTGAAAGCATTCCGTAGCTCGCTCTATGAAGGCCTGGAGAAACCGGAATCCAAGACCTCCATTCATAACTTCATGGCAACGCCCGAGTTTCTGATCAATGACTACACCCACAACATCCCACTCATCGATGACACGGACGTGGATGAGAACGAGGAGCGCCTGCGGGCCCCCCCACCCCCGTCCCCCAACCAGAACAACAACGCCATAGACAGTGGTGTCTACCTGACCACGCACGGCACCAAGTCAGCTACCTCGTCAGTGTTTTCTTCCAGACCTGGGAGCCCACTCCACAGCGTGGAGACGTCCCTCTAAGGGAACGGCTTTCAGCATGCGCACCCCGCACACACGCGCACTCGGCCGGACGGCACAGGCCTGCAAGGAGAGCATGGCCAAGGCGGCTGAAGATGGTGCTCGCACGGCACTAGGAGGAAGCCACTCCATCCAAGGCTTCTTCTCTGGGAACTGAGGAGGAGGAGGGAGAAACTAGAGCGTGAGAAGAGCTGTGTTTCCCTTTTTTCTATCGAAGCATTTTTTTAATGAACACTACAATTCCACCAGATGTTCGCTGTTTGGGCTCTGCGGTGGGGCGGGGGCCTGGTTTCAGGTGATTGGGCGTTTCACTGCACCTGCCGGAGAGCAATTGGACCAATAGGTTCATACAGAAAGAAAAAAGATGACCATTGCTCCGCAGGGCCAGGAAGGATGCCCCACCCGGACAGCCCACCGCAGGGAGCCGCCTACAGATGTACCTGCACCACCAAGCGCCCCTCCCCCAGGACACACGTGCGGTCTGCATGTGTGTGCGTGTGTGCATAGATATGCATGTGCGTATAGACATATACGTACATATATGACCAGATGCGTATTTAAAGAATAAGGAGCTATTTATCAGCATGATATTTCCATTCCTCTTATCAGGTATTTTCATTTTGAAATTTCATTATTTATTGTGGCAGGTTTGTTTTTTTTTTTTTTTTGGGAAAAGACTCCGAAAAAATCTTTTTTTTTTCTTTCCCCCCCCCCCGCTGCCCCCCACCTTCTGCCCAGTCCTCCCTCCCGCACAGTTCCTGGGAATGTTGCTGTGGAGATTCCTAAGAAGGTCGGGGAGAGAGACACGAGGCCGGAGCGGTTGGAATTAGAACTCTTGCACTTTGAGACCCCTGCCTATAGAGGGGGGGAAAAAAAACAAAAACCTTTCAATGGAATTTTTTTATTTAAAAGGAAAATACCAAAGTATTGATAAGAATGACCCCCTCCAGTAGGTGGAAAGGGGAGTTTTGCTTTCAGTTTCCTTCGGTTTCAACTCCAAGTCCTGAATTCTGGCTGGTGGGCTTTCTTTGTCCACGCCCCCACTTCAACGGCATGAAGCGCTGCCGCCGCCTGCCACACCGACCCCTTGGGCAAACCCAGAAGCTGGGAGCAGCCCCAGGAGAGCCAGGTCCGGAGGTGGGGTGCGGGTGGGGAGAGCACCAAGAGCCAGGCAGAAAGCGGCAGAGGAGGAGGTACCCTCCACACCCAAGAAGAGCTGGCGTGACCGCAACCGCGAAGTTGGGCCAAGGGGTCTGTCGAGTGACTGGGGCCAGTTCTCAGTCAGCACCCGCCAAAGCACTCTTCCGACCCGGGGCTTCTCGTTCAAGGACAACTATGACCCACAAAGGCATGGATTTGTGTCTGCACCCACCTACGGTGACATGGGGGAAGCAGACGCAGGAGCAAAGCCCCTGGGAGCAATGGCACCTCGCCGCCGTCACTCCGGTCACAGCTGTGGCTCTGTCTCACGAGCCCGGAAGGCTGAGGAGGTCAGCTTCGCCGTGCCGCCTGAGCACCCTGTCTGCAGGAGGGAGAGCTGGGCCTGGGCTCCCCAGATGGTTCCCTCGGGGACCTCTCCTTGCCGTATGGGCACCCGTTGTGCCAAGCCTCAGTTTCCCCTGAATGCACGCTGACCAGGGAGGGAAATGCAGAAAAAGCAGAGTTTCCTTTACCTTCTGAATTCATCTGTCGTGCTTTGCAGAGAGGCAGTTGAAGTCCGACCGCAGCGCGTACAGGTGCTTATCACTTGGGCCTGAGGCTGAGCCACTGAGGGACAGCTGGGAGCTGAGGGACGTGGGTCGGAATGCAAATGCAGGTGTGGATGAGCAGCAAGGCCGGCTCACCCATCATGTCCCCTGTGCTGCCCCCACCGGCAGGGGACTCGTCCAACCCCACCTGCCTCCGTGAGCATCTGGGTGGACATCCAAAACATGCTCAGTTCCTACCGCCAACAGGAAGGCCAGGTCACCCCCGAGCAGCAGTAGTCCGATCTCGGGCAAAGCGATTCCAGTTAGACAAGAAAATCCCACTTGAAATGCCAGCTACAGATAACTTAAAGCCATCCCTTTATTCCAAAGGGCACATTGAGAATGTTACCCACTTGTAAATTGTTCCCTAATGTCCTCGTTTAAACAACAAAAAGGGCAACTCAATTTGTTGAGGGTCTGTGTGTTCTTAAACTAGAAATAAAATTGGAAATCTTTCAAATTGAAGAAGGAAAGCTGCATATGCTCTGCTCATGGGCTTCTTTTCATTCTCTGTTAGAGACACCCTGGTAGAACAAATGGTCAATATGATTAAACAAAAACCCTCGGGGTGTGGGGTTCAGAAAAGGGGTGCCGTGACCTCAGATTGTCGCTCTGGTTTCTGTACAGTCTTCAGGCCGAGGGACCTGTCTTGTGAGGAAGCCCCCTCTATAAAGCATATTATACGGAATGGCTTGGTCAACTGTGTTCAGTTATTAAACATGTTTTACATCTTTATCTGCCTGTTATAAAGATGAACAAAAATTATCTTAATGAGGAAGACCAGATGCATAATAATTTAAAGTCTGTAGTTGAATTTCCTAATTTAAAGAATAGACCAAAATTTCTGTGTATTAAAAAAAAAAAAATTTGAAAGGCTCCTACAGTGCCAGTCTGGGTAACATGTGTGATTTATTAGTTGGTGAATTCTGAATGAACTGGAATGAAAAGGAGGTGTCTTCATCCACTTAACCAAGCTGAGAGCCCCAGGAATGGCCAAGCTCCCCCCTGGTGTGCAGCCACCTGTCCAATCCTTATGGAAGAAAGGGCTCTGCTAGCAGAGGTTTGCAGGCTGGTCCCCGAACTGTCTGGACCTGGAGGGGCCTCGCCTGAAGGCCCAGGCCGGCATCCTCAAAGGAAGGCGAAGGCAGGGGCCACCAACCCACATGCACGCATGCAGACTCCCTCTTTTTTTTTTTGACTGTGGCAAAATATATACAACATAAAAGTCACTCTCCAATTTTAAGCAAACAGTCCGATGACATTAAGTACTTTCACAGTGCTGTGCAGTCATCCCCACCATCTGTCTCCAGAACATTTTTATCTCCCCAAACTGAAATCTGTTTGCGTTAAACACTAATTCTTCATCCCATGCCCCCCAGCCCCTGGTGCCTGCCGTCCTTTCTGTCTCTCTGAGTCTGACTGCTCTAAGAAACCCACAGAAGTGCAGTCATACAGTAACTGTCTGTAACTGGCTGATGGCACTCAGCTTCATGTCCTTGAGCTTCATGCATGGTGTGGCCTGTGTCAGAAGTTCCTGCCTTTTTTAAAGCTGAGTAACATTCCGTTGTACGGCTAGACGATATTTTCTTTATCCACTCATCCGTCAGGGGACACGTGGGTTGCTTCTACCTTTTGGCTACTGTGAATCATGCTGCTGTGAACACGGGTGTTCTGTTGGAGTCCCTGCTTTCAGTCCTCTTGGGTCTACATCCAGAAGTGGGATTGCCGGGTCATTTGGTAATGCTAGGTTTAATTTTTTGAGGAGCTGCCAAACTGTTTTCCAAAGCGGCTGCACCATTTTAAATTTGCCCCCAGCAGTGCACAAGGGTTGTAATCACAGACTTCCTCTTTACGCCAAAGCGAGGGAAAGAAAACCCATTATTTCAGTCATTCACTTGCTCGCCAGGTCATCCCCCTATCCGTTCCTTCGCACACTGGGCGTCTTTGAGCACCTGCGTGGGGGGCATCTGTGCTCCGCGGCCCAGAGGCAGCCCTGGGCCAAAACTTGCAAATGACTACCACAGGGACAGAGCTGAGACTGCCCACATCTCCGTCCCCTGTGTTTCTATTTCTCCACTCCACACATCACCCTTTCAAACTTGGCAATGCCAGCGGATGCCTTTTCCAGGGAAGCTGCCAGGAAAGGAGGAAAATGGCTTCTAAGTTCCCTCCCAACCACCAGAGTCCATACTTCTAAAAAAGGCAAAAAGACAGATAACAGAAAACAGCAGACAAATAGCCAAGAGCCCTTGCTTCATTGATGTGTGAGTCCACCTTGAACCCTAAGGCTGAGCAAGTCTACGTGGAGCCAAACGCCATGTCCAGATAGCTGGCACCTTATGGAGAGATGTTGCCCTCCCCCCCAGATTGCTAATTTCTGCCTGTCGAGACTCTTTTCCACTCCTGCTATCAGATATGACACAGGTTCCCTTGGAAAAAAATTGGTACTTAGCCAAATGAGTTGAGGCCAGGAAGCGTAACAACACCCACCCCCTTCACAAAGCAGAGGTGCACCCCGGGAGTCTGAGGGAGCCCGGTAGGAGCTGACAGAGTACCCACACTGGCGGGGGGGTGCTAAAATAACAAGACAGTTGGCCCCCCCCCCCCCGCCGCCTTGCTCCGGAGGCCGGAAGGCAGGAATCCTGGTGTCGGCAGGGCGGCGCTCCCTCCGAAGGCTCGAGGGCCCTTCCTTGTCCCTTCCAGCTGCTGGTGCGGCCGGCGTCCTTGGCCTTCCTTGGCTGGTAGCTGCACCACCCCCGTCTCTGTCGTCCCGTGGCCTTCTCCCCTGCACTTTCCATCACTGCGTCTTAGAAGGATACCAGTCATCTTGGATTCGGACCCAGTCTACTCCTGTAGGATCTCACCTCACACTGACACTAGCTACAAAGAGCCTGTTTTCAAATAAGGACCCATCCCCACGTTCCAAGAGTTAGGACATAAACACATTTTTCGGGGGACAGCATTCACTCATCCACAGCTGGAAAAGAAGAGACCGCCGTGTTCCTCATAGAACTTGGATTGCCCCCCTCCTTCCACCCACTTGACAGGCCAGGCAAGGCTCGGCCGTTTATCACTGTACAGTAATTAAGATGTGCTGGAAGCTTCGGGCTGTAGAAAATCTTGTCTCCGTCCCTCATTGCTGCCCAGCGCCTTTCCTTCATCTCTGTTCCGACGACGGCACACTGAAGGGGGAGCTTCCGGCCCCAGCTGCATCAGGAAAGCAGAGACGAGCCCTGAGTGGTAAGCGCTGACAGGACAGGCCCAGAGGCCAGTGCGCGAGGGCTGCAAGTCCCACAGGGCAGCACGACAGGCGCGGGGCGGGCTAAGGGATTTTAAAATAGCAATCAGAAAAAAAAAGAAAAAGAAAACTAGCCATCAGCGATCGCAGTCTGAGGTCACTTGGTCCGACCTGCTCAATTTACAAAGTGGGAAACCGAGTCCCATAGAAAGAAAGGAACCGGCCTGCTATGCAGTCGTCATAAAAGGAAACCTAGAGCTACAAAATCTCCACGGAGGCTGCCGCTAGCCCCAGCAGACCAGAGTCTCCGCAGCGACGCTTTCCCAGTTCGGCACAGGGGCTCTCAGCCGGGGGTAGGGATGTTCACCAAATCCCTAGAGAGCTTTATCCAACCATCTTCCCTTCTTTCTGGTAAGTCCTGGGGCAGGGGGTGGGGAGCAAACAGACTGGAACAGGTGCAGATGGAGAGAGCTCTCCAGAGGGTTCTCCTGTACCCTCCACCTAGCCCTCCCATCCAGATCAGGGGGTTCTGTTTTCTGAGAGCTGAGCAAATGACCTCCCATCAAGTGTGTGGGGGCCAGCTGCCTCACTGGAGGCTAAACCTTAAGAGATCCAAAGACACTGAAGCTTCTGTAAGAGCTTGTGATCTGGTCAGGAGAGAGAAGACAGAGAATCCAAAAGTGAAACATCTGTTGCCTAGTTCCATTCAAACCAGCAATAAGCGCCAGCCAAGGCCAGCACCGGGTTGATGCGGGACAGGCAAGGCTGGGGCCTGTGGGGAGGAAGAACCCAAGGCAGACGAGGTATGTTTTAAATAGCAGAAGACAGAAAGGACCAGCGGAAGAGCCAGAGCTGCTCACAGAGAGAGGCCTGCGGGCTGGCCCCTCGCCACCCACTGCGTGCTTACAGCCGGGACTCTGAGCACCAACCTTGGCCTCAAAGAGCTCCCAGCTGAGCTGGCTGAACAGATATGGAAAGGACACGGTGGAAAAGCGGACATTTACTCAGATCTCTCCTCCTGAAGACACATAACACAGTTGCTAAGTAAACACAAGCAAGCCAGTGTGTGATCCACCAGAGACAAGCATTCGGACGCAGCCTGCTGGACCCCAGGCATTCCAGCCCGCTCCCACACCTGTGGGTGCCGGAGGGCATGGCACCCAGTATCCAGAGCCCATGCTCCCCTGGCAACAACTTCCCAAATGCAGGGGAGCACCTGGGATAGTCCCCTGCTCCCCACACCATCATGTACTGAAGGACAGTCCAACCAGGGTGTGTCGAGCCCAGTGGGGATTCCCAGGGAGAACAACCTCGGCTGCTCTCTTTCTCTAATGCACCCAAAAGCAAGTCTTCTGGAAGAAGTGCCCTCCGAGTGGGTCAGGAGGGTGTCATGGCCCTGAGATTCTCTAGGCGCTCCATCTAGACTCGCTGTCTTGACACTTAAGAAAAAACCATCACTTACTTTCTAGTAACATTGTGGTCCGATCTGGGTTTGGGGAACCCAAGTAATGCTCCCTAATCCCTCTCTCCAAAACTGATGCTCACTCACTGAATGGGACAGGCGCCAAGCTCTGTGAATGTCCCAGTGGGGGAGTAAGGACATGGCGACTCCTTCGGGGGACGCCACCATGATGTGTGCACATGCTGGGCCACCGTGCCCTCGGAAGAGAGCGTTTCAGGGGAAACCGAGGTTGAATGGCACCCAGAGCAGCCCAGGCCAGAGAGCAAAGACAGGGCATCTCTGTTGATTTGTATCATCTTTTATTATACAAAATAAAATTCCATCTATGTTACACATTCATACTTTCTATAAATCTGGCTTTAAAAACATCCCCAAGGGTGCAGTCTCATCTGTTCTTTGATTTTGCTTCCACTGATGTCACACCTCAACTGCAGTCGGTGCCCTCTCAAAGGACAAAAGCAGACACGGATGCCTTGGGGGCCCTTCCCCTGGTGCACCCCGGCCTGCCCGCAGGAGGCACAGCTCCCATCACCGTCTGGACCACAGCTGCCAGGGACAGTCAAAGCATGAGAATCAAAGTGGCAGCAGGTCATCGCCTTCACCAGCCCGTCTCCAGCAGCACAAAACCAGTCCTCCCAGCTGGTCTTCTGGGGACCAGCCGTCACAGCGATGTGGTGATGCCGTCCCCAGGCAGCCGAGCATCCCGGGCTTCTCTTTGGGCAGGCCTGGACCAGGGCCTTAGGGGATCTCTGTGTCCATGGTATAAATCTGAATGAGATCAGACACAATGTTATCAATGATTGGCTTGGTAAGGTCGTCACTAAACACCTAGAAAGGAGAAGGAAAACAGGTTCTGATTAGACTCCCTCTGTGTTAAACAAGGCACCCACCACTAAGCACGGAATCACATTGCACAGGGGGATGGCACAGGGACTTGGCTATCAGAGATGATGGTGGCTCTCTGCAAAGCCAATTCAATTCCAGCCTGCCGAGGCTAACCACAAAGCAGAGAACATTCCAGATGGAAGAGGCCTCAGTGATCATCTGACCCAGACAGGACAGGGAGCTGGTGACAGAGTTGGGCCAGGAGTTCATTCCCGGAAGTAAACAGGCTAAACCACTGAACCCCACTCCACCCTGGCCTGGCCCCTGGAGAACACCTGGACCTGTTCTATAACCTGGGCCAGACATCCTCCTGACCGTGCTGGAGAGCTTATAAAATTGTCAAGTGAATCCCCAGGGGCCCAAACCAAGAGGGGTGTGTAGCTCAGGTCTAACCCCGCATGTTTCCAAGGAAGTTCTGGCCCTCGCCCAGCCCCTGGGAAAGGACCTCAGGCCCCCCGCATGTCCTGCCTGATGAGAGGGTCTCAGTCTCCCTGGGGCTGAGCTGGACCAACACCTCTCAGCTTCATGTCCCGGGGCGGGGGGGGGGGGG